CAGCAGATCTCGAGTTATAAGTGTAGAAACACTTTTCACAACTCTCTTTTATATAAATAAAGATTATGAAGCCCGCCTAAAAGCATGCTACAATTTTCTTGTTCTTAAGTACTCATAAAATCTGTTATAAATGTACATACATATGGCAATATATACATATGTCAAATGATTTGTAGAGGCTCAATATCCGAAACTGTTGTGGGGATCATAGGAAGAATTTTGTATTATTCGATCAACAATTGCAAGAATCACATTTTTGTTGGAAATAAATAAAACAATAGCGATATGATGTGGGCGTTGCTTATTTAGGACCATTTTGTTTTTTATAATCCATTGTAAATGGGAAATAAGTGTTTTTTTTTTTTAATGTTATACAGAAAGCTCTTCACACCCGAGTAATAAAACAGAAGTTGTTCATTTTCAATATGCAACATCTAAAAGTAATATATTTGTTATGTAATACCATTAAGTGTAATCTAATTGTCATTTAGCAAATGTTTAACAAACAAACGTACAACGCACTCGACAGGTGCAAGACGCAAGCTACAAATACACAGACAAACAAACACGCATATAATATATATATATACATATATACATACAAGTATATATATGTATAACAAGAGGTAAAAGTGATTGTTTATCAAGTAGTACAAACTAAAACGAGACTTTAACAATGCGCATCTGATGCTCTGCTCAGCGCGTGGGAAAGTAGGGGTATACATGGTGTGGTGGGTGAGGTATATGGGTCAGAGCAGCTCATCCGATACAAATGCGGTGCACGCTGTGTACATGTAGGTATATTTATATACATATATATGTATATATCTGTATATGAACGTATACATATACATATATATATAAAGCTAGCTAAGCAACACGACTCGATTCCTTTCGATTTTGACTATGACCGTAAGACCCTTTCAATCCAATTGTCAATGACCGCCAATTTCGCGCAGCTCTCGTTTGCCGAGCGGCAACGGAGGACGGAAATTGTTGATGACCTTGCCATTGAACTCATTGCAAGGACACTCTTCCTTGACGTCGTAGGCATTGAGGTTGCGCATGGCATTCAGTTGATCGTCAGATACTTGAATTGGCGTCTTGAACACAATCCAAATGACGCACTCGGAGCAAGGCGGCGTGGTCAGTGAGCCCTCATATGTCCAATACGTATGCACATCGGGCAGTAGCTTGCCGGGATCGCAGCCATGGGGCAGCGTGACGCGATCGCCCTTGTGCAGAACAAACTGCAACAAGCTGCTCACTTTGTCCAGCTCAGCGTGATGATTGCCCGGCTGTAGAAAAACACCCAACACGGCCAGTCCATCAGGTGCGGCAGCTGCCTCGCCGAAGGACTTGTACTTCGTGGTGTTCCAGTGCACGAGATGCAGCTCACCCGAATAGGAGACTCCGTCGACCGTATGCTCCGACCCCTTCGAGTTGGTGCAGCCCCAATGGCAATGGAACTGTTCCAATTTAAAGATCTGATCGCCCAGCGGTCCTCCAGTTAGCTCAGAATTGGCGCCGTTGACATCCACGCGCCAGCAGTAGCCTGCGATGATATGTAAGAAACTAGCTAGAGCTTCGCTTTCTACCCAATTGAATATAACACCCACCTGGATTAACCAGACTCTTTGTGTCCTCCGGCACATATTTCCATTTGAGCGGCGACACCTTCAAATCACTACCCTTTTTGGCACTCGAGGGAGTGATGTCCACGGGCGACTGCCGATGTCCCGATGCCTGGGGGTAGTCCTTGGCCCAGTGTGCGGGTCCTGCGGAGGAAACCATGCGTTAATTAACTCCTCGTTTAGCCAAAGGACATTTAGATTAATTGCTACCACATGTTACAATCATTTATTAGTTCGACTTGTATATTTACGATCTATTTATAAATGCTACTACTGCAGACTATTTGTCATTAAATCAAAGAGTAATCAAGGAGAATCCAAAATTACTTTTCTCTTAGCATGTGGCCCAGAACTCAATAAATTAAATTGCCATCAATCAAGTTTAAAATCTTGTCCTTGGGCTCACAAGAAAAATCTGTGCAATTAACGCCATTAATAAGTTGATTAATAAGTTATATAACTGTTGGATTTCGTAACATGTTTTTCTCTAAAATGCACAATTCTATACAAAAGTATATCAAGTAAGGTTCGTATTAGTTATTATTAGAGCGTAATACCCAGAGAATATCTATCTAAATTTTAAGATTGATTGGTTTGAGCGTTGACTTTGTGACGGAATCCTTAAAGTTCATATATTAGGTTCAAAGTCTAAATCCTTTGACAAAGAGGAATTGTATTATATCGTAATTATAGTCTAAGAATTTAATTCCGTCAGTGTTCAGTTATGGAAACAAAGCGATGTCCAAATCATTTTAGGTAGCGAACTTATCTTAATATTTCAGATCCTATATAATACTAGCGACAAACCTAAATTCCCTTGGTGCACAGTTCATGCAAGGAATTTTAAGTCGAAAGCGGTTTACGTAGGTTTGTCTACATATTTCATTTCTACACTAAATCACTTAAGGCATTTATAGAGCTCTTGTCTTTAATGATAAGAATATCTATGAAGACAATAACACGTATATTATTTTAAGGCTTCAACATTTTAACATCTGGGTGGTGCCTATATGTACCTTAATATTTAAACAAAAGCTTTCATGTGCTTCCTCTTGTGGCTTAGCCATAGAGCTTGACAAATATTTATATAAGAAAGAAAATAAATAAAAAACTTTAGTTTAAAAATGTTGGAAATCCCAATAGAAACAAAATAAATTAATGGAATTGAGGAATTGCTTAAAAATCGTTAAGAAAGCCGGCGTAAAATAAGAACAAACCCGTTTTCGCTATTAACTTTTAACTCGTGCTGGTTTTCGTGTTCGCCTGTTCTGCTGTTAGCAGATGGTAATTAGAAGTTCATAAAAAGTTAAATAAAGTAAATGTCACTGCCTGCAGAAAATTTGTTGTAAAATACAATATGTGACTAACATCCATCTGCTTGACATAGAATTTTTATCTTGACACAGAGCAATCAGCGGAGATAGCAGTATAAAATGATTATTTACTTTATCATAGTCTTTTATCTTCTTTTAATATTTTGCTATTATTTTCCGCTGCATTTGCGCTTTTAATTGTTGTCGTGTGCTGCAGCAAAAACAAACAGCAAAACCAACTCAAATATTGACTTTGATGTGCCGTCACGTGCTGGGGCATAGAGAGTGACTAGGGCTAGAGCCGCTCCAGTCATGTGATATTTGGAATACGGCCGGCACTGCCGACGCACGGCACAGAGTGGAGCGTAACAGACAAAAGTAGGCGACATTTGATAGTGGGCGTGGCAACCGATATATCTTACAAATACAAATGGGAAGGTGCACTTAATCTGGCGTTCACCTTATCTAAGTTAACTCATTTGTCTATTTGCCTGTGCCACATGATACATCATTGGGGTCCTAAAGTATTTAATTCTTGTGATTTCCAATAAATCATACACGTATTTATAACAGTGCATTTTCTTTATCGGCATACAGGCAGTGCTAATTATGTAATTGGAGGTGTAGAAAAGCCTGAGCATGAGTTTCAAATGTGCAAGCAATACGCAATTTCACCATGTGACAGGCAAATTGATAGGGTGTATTAATTCATATATATAGTGCAAACAAATAAATCACGTATTCGCTATGCAACTGGAGCTCCCAATCTAAAGCCGTTTTGAAGTTTACCATTAGCACATGTGACACTGCATTTTCGAATTTTTCTTTTTCGCCGATCAGTTATGCAAACACCCCAGGTAGATGTGGACGCGATAGTTGTGATATCACGCATACACCAGGCAGACTAACGCACACGTAAACTATGCGAAAAAGTCGATAATTTGATTGCATGCGATACATTTGGGCTTGCCATCGATACTTGACAGTGAAAAATAATAGAGTAAATAGTAACAAAGGCTACTTGTAGCTGTAGAAAACATGCAGCCATATGACCAAATCAATGATCCTTTGTCAACTGAAAAACGGCTCATGAATCATTGAATCCCTCTCTTTCTCTCCTTTTCTCTCTCCTGACAAATATATATGTGTATTGAAGTTACTTCGACCATCACGAACTAATAGAGTTTCCATGCATATACATACATATGTATCTCGTTCTTTCATTGAAGCTCATCGAATAGCAGATAGAGAAATCAGTATGCCAATAGAATTGTATTGATACATTCACTTAGATATATACGGCTAGCAGCAGATAAAACTACGAAACGCTGGGATTCCCATTTCATGTCTGTCTGTATGTATGCGATACTTATGGAAGCTGTTATTGCACTTTTGTTGCAATCCTTTTACATATCTCAATTTTAGTCGAAATATCCGGTTGATGATAAATTAACCAATTATTTCGTACGCACATAAAGCTGCCATTTTGACAGCTGCGTTCTGTTGATTTGTTTTTTATTTGCTAATTTCATTTTTATTATACCCTGAACCCATCGAAAATGAGAAATCAGGGTATAATGGTTTTATTAAAAGTATGTAACAAAGTATATATATTCTTGATCAGGGCGACGAGCTGAGTCGATTTGGCCTTGTCCGTCTGTCTGTCTGTATGTTTGAACGCGTCGATCTCAGAAGATATAAGAGCTAGAGCCTTAAAATTTTTTTCAAATGTCCGTATATATGTGCGGATATCGAGTTTCTCACTAAAAATCGATACCTCATTACCAATACCCCGTTATTTTAAAAAATCTAAATCAAAATCAAATTATTCAACAAATAAATTCTCATAATATTGGCAACAGTGCAGCGCAGCCCAAGCGCAGTCGTTGCTTACTGCGCAAATAGCAAACGCCTGCGTACTAGAGACTTGTGCTTTGGCAAATGTATGCACATCCATGCTATAATCATAATCTGAAAGTTTCATGATAACAAGAAAAGCTATTAAACAATTAAGTTCCCATAGTAAGCCCACGCTGCAGGCAATGCGTGTTTATGCATACGTGTGTGTCTTGAAATTTTTGTTGCTTGAAGAGTTCAGGGGATCTCGTAGTCGAACAGTTGGAACTAGAGCTTTCTTGTTTATTTTATTTTTTATTGTAGCTTATTTTGAGCCACTTCAGGCAACAGCTGCTGCTGTGGCTGCTGCACTGACTGGCAAATATATGATGCTCAGTCAATTCTACAGATCCACACGCTATATCGGATAAACAACCGACTCAACTACCCTGTAGATATGATTTGATGCTCTAATTCACTAGTCTAAACTCGATGAGTGTTAGAAAACGAATGAGTAAATTTCATGCCCTTTGAAAAATTATCAAGTTTTTGCACGTGCGCAAACATCCGCTAAGGAAACGCACACGCCTGTAATTGACAATATTGATTGATGTGGAATCATGTCAGATGAATGACATTTGCAGTATATAATATACATATATATATGACAACACGATCTTCAAACAATTTGCTAACTTGTACAGAACGAAAAAAGTAACGTAAATTGCGATAAAAATCGAAATGATTATTTAATTGAATTAACAGCAAATTGAACGTTCTGAATTCGGCATAGCATACCTAATCTCATTACACATTAATTATATTTATTATATACATATATGTATATCTGTATGAAACGATCAATTGAACAGCCGGACAAAAACTAGTTTTGTGCAACTTTTGCCGGAGTATAAGGAATTAAGTAACATTTTCATTGGAATTTACACAATATTTCGCAGCTATTTTCTTTCGTTTCAGTTTCAAAACAAACAACTATTTTGTTTGACAGATGCTCAAATGAACGACTAGGATTGCCCTGTAATCGTATGGCAATTGAGCTCAGATTCATTTAATACAGTTGTTGTTCATAAATTCCACTTCAAACGACATTGTCGAAAGCGCTGGAATCTTCTTAGCTAAGATAGCGAGTAGAGAGACATCTGTAATAAAGATCCCATTTCCTTAGAAATAACATATTAATCGATCTGAAAGCATATATTTACCTTACATAAGTAACAATAAAACTACACGCATTTCCACCGCTTACAGGGTATTCATTTGGTTCGAGTACAGAGTACATATGTTGTTCAAGATGAACGCAGGAAAGAAAAACGGTTTCTGCTGACGAATAAAAAACGGGTAGAAAAGTCGCAACTATTAACTTAAATTGCACGATCGTATCTCTTAAGCGCACAGTAGGCAGCTCGAACTTATAGAGACAGTGTCATATAGGCAGTTCATCATGAGTTTATTGCGTGTTTTCATTGTTGTTTATGAGCTAAGGAACTGCTTGCTAATTGGACCCTGGGATAAGCTATGAATGTCGTTCGCAATTCGCAATTCGGCTTGTTCCTGCGTGAGTCAGACTATAGAACAAGGTATATGTATATGTAGATATATATTGCCATATTTATATGTCAATTTATTCGACAATGTCAGACTGAAATGACCCAACGTTGCGGCTTATATAGCCCGTCTCGCATCCCGTCTATTTGTGAAGCCCCATTAGTGCGGTAAGCCATGGCACTTGCTGGGAAATTTAGCTACAACCCTCCAGAAGACAAAGCCCCTTTCAGAGACGTTTTTGTACTTTTAGTGCAAATTATTTGTTTGCATGTGACCGAACAGCCACAGAAATAGATTTATTGAATGACCATAAAAACGAAAATTAAGAAAACCTAAAAGCAACTTAACAACTTAACAGCTTAACAACACACAATTTTATAGAAGAATAACATGCAAATTTCGAAAATTTATTGAATTGTCACGTACAGCCCAAAATTTTTGCACCCGGAATGCTCATCTGTAGAGCAAAGTTTTCCAACTCATAAATTTGATAGCTGTTTTTTTTAAAAGTGTGTATATATATGCACATATATTATAGATATTATCTGACACATATGTATATACATATGTGATATATTTTTTATCACATCAAACGCTAATTTTAATGCCATAGCCAAAAATAACTGTCATATATACAAAATATATATTAATATATATGGACAATATTATCCCAAGCATCATTTTCTGACACCTTCAGCATGGAGCTTTAGAAAACATTGATCAGCTCTTAAGCACTTTGGATGATTGTTTTTATATCTCTATATCTGTTTCTCACAGATCGGTTATTTCAACACTTATTATATATACCTATGCGATTGCTTGAAATGGGCGTGGCAATGAGATATATTCATATTCATTATTGTCTATTGTTTTGTAATAAATAGTTATGTGTCGATCCGTTTATGGCTTACAGACGTCAGTGGAATATATTACAAAATTATAATAGAGTAAATCGATGAATGTATATATACATATGTAGATCTACAGATACATATATATAGATAGATATATATATAGATAGATAGATTGGAATTACGAATAAGATTATAATATTATTATTATGTATCATTATACTGCAATATATTTATATTGTTTCAACTACTCAATATTCTAATATTATCGAGCATTAAAATTTAAATTGGTATAAAAAAAGGAAAAACAATTTCAGTGCCAGTCAATCTGTTTCTGTTCATAGTTTCAATCCAAACAACAATGGCAAATTGATAAGAAGGAACCTTTCCCAAATCAAAAGAAGTAGGATATTTTTAGTGGATATTACTAATTTGAGTTCTTCACTCTATTGAGTCATAATGATAACAAGTAAAGTATATACGTATATCTGTATGTATATATTTATAAATAGATTAAATTCCATGGGATAGGTAATGCATAGCGTCAAAGAAGATAAGGAGAGTACAAAAGAGAAGTCTCATTTATAACCGATAACTAAGTAATGATTGACGAATTTATTCGTCAGTTTTAAGAATTAATGTGAGTATATTGGTTTTGGCTAAATGAGTCAAGCACGTCAGCACGTCGTATTAATCTTGTTAGCAGTCGTATCCTCTATTTCTATCTCATATCGATGCTACCGAAAACTCAATGATATTGATTTCTGATAAGATTTTTGTACTTTTAAGCAGGGCATTATATAGTTGATTATGCCAGACTACAACGTTGTTAACTTTGTGTTTTTATTTTCAGCTGTTGTTATTGTTGTTACTCTAATCAATAAAAGGCGATTCACGTCTTAAATGAAATTGATTTACAAAATATGAACACGCGACTTTTAATCTGCTACTCATCTAGCATAGAGTATAGACAGTTCTGCAGTTTTGACTGGGCCAGAGGTAGATTTGATTAGAAAACATCGCTTAATCTTTATATATGTATATACATATACATATATATATACACATATATGTATATGTATATATGCATGTCTATGTACACATGTGTACACATTTATATAAATAATATTTATTGCTGTATGTATAGTAGGTTTAATATATGTAAATAAAACTCGAGTGCTATGCACTTATATTTAAGCTAAGAACCACTCTAGACTGGAGTGTGCCATAAACAGATTCCCCGAGAATGGAATATATACATAGATAGATCGGCGGGCAGCGATAACGCAGCATAGTCATATAAAAGACATTGGAAAGTTACCCGAGTCAAATCAATCAACGCAATCAGCGACATTTAACGCAAATCAAAACAAATTGCCGAAAATAAAAATGGATCCCAACCTTTTGGTAGATGCAAACATTTTTCTTTCTTTTTATTGAACGATAAGTGACTATCATGTGACGGGCAGGGCTTTGATATGCCAGACAGAACGTTTGTCAGGGTTTGGTCATGACGAGTCACTCATGATGAAACCGGTCTTTAATACGTCCTTAAGAACGGCACATGCACTTGACCAACCGGGCAAAAAGCAAACGAACTGCCTTCAAAAGGCAACACAAAACACAAAGGAAAGGCGAAACAGAAACAGTCAAAGCGAGAAACCAGTCGACTGACGCTAAACCCATATGCTAACGTAACGAATACTAAATACCCTAATTTTAGATTAAAAGCTAAGCTTAGATGGTGCGTTTTGTTAGAGGCGTATATCATACTCATCAAATTGTAAAAATAGTTTTAAAAAATAAGTTTAGCTTGTAATTAGTGCACACTTTTCTGCAGCAATTCAATACCTTACTAAAATCGATAATTATCGATTTTCACGAAAATATTTACTTAATACTTATATTTACTTTATATTTTGCTATATTTAGCAGTTCATGCGAACTGGGAAACACTTTTAAATTCAAAGTGCGACTGGTTGCAAGGGAATCACCCATATCCGCACCCTCACCCGCAGCCGCCGCATACTAGTGCACGGTTGCGATCACGAGACGCAGCCCGTGCAAAGCGCCGATTATCGGATATTGTCTACCCAGTCTACAGACCCCGTTTTTGCGTTTCTGCGCCGCGTAGACGATTTAATTATGGCTGTCGCATATTTATGAGCAGCCGACGAACTTATGAACGTGCCCAAGCCTCTCGAAGAGTGTGTACGTTCATTGTGTGGAGTGGCAAAGCGATGATGCATGTAATTGAGGCGCAGAGCGTCATTTCTCTGTTTAAACTGAACTTTAATGAATTAACAGCGAATGAACGAGCTAAAGTTTCGGACCAGTCTCAACTGGAATGAACCCAAAAATATAAATATTTTCAGCTGAGCGATCCAATAAAAACATTCAAATAACAGCGCCTTTCAAAAAATACCTTGGACTCGCATCCTATGTACCTTAGATCGGAAAAGCAGCGCTTCCATATACACGTGTGTATTATTCATGCGTCGGACAATTAAGTCCAAACAACAAAAAATTTAACAAATTACTTAAGTGTTTGTAATCAGTTAGATAACAGATATGTATTCAATCAACAGAGTTGTCTCAATTAAACAGACAGCAGAACAGCCACGTTCAATAAAACTGCACCCAGATCGCACATGTCGAAATCTCTGATATGTTATTCATACTTGAAAACTTTCCCAAAGTCGTTGTTCGCATGCGCAGCGTGCGTCACGTTTGTAAACAAAAAATCTTAGCAAAACAAATAGCCGAAACGAGATTCGCGTGTAATCGCTCGAAGTTGGAATACCCTTACTCGATATGCATACATATTCATATTCGTATACATGTATATATAACCATGAATAGTATAAAATCTTGTCAGTTAGCAAGTTGGTGAATTTATTGCTCAAAGCAATCTCCATTGATTTATTAAGCTAGCATTCAAATTAAGCAACAGTTAACGGTTCATCCGTTGTTTATATAAGTTAAGTAAAGCCTATTTGAATAATCGGCACCAAATTAAGGTAGCGCTTCTAGGGTATATCACTTGCTTACCATTCTCTTCGGTATAGCCCCAGTGATGGCTCATCGTAGATCTGATCTTTGGTTAATAGCAGACTAAAGAGTTGTAGAGTAGAAAACAAGACTTTTGTTCTTGCACTCGCAGTAGCTCTCGCGCGTTTGATTCTTGCCGCGAATGCAACGAAACTTTTTATATAGACCCGATAGATAGGGATAGAATAACGTTTACAATATGGGGAGCGCGTCTGCTTAGCTAGTCCGCTGACTGTAGACTGATTGACTCGCGCCAGCGTCGCTGACTTCGAAGCCAAAGAAGAAAAAGGGAAAAAAAACACGCACGGTTAACCTGACTGAAACACCGTGCGAGAGAGAGAGAGAGAGCGGGAGAAAAAGCACACTATAACCAGTACATGAACAAGCAAGCGAGCGAATGGGCGAGCGAATGAGCGAGCGAACGAATAAGAGAAAGCCTAAGGAGAGCGTGACAATTGAGCAATTAAATTAGACTACTGTGTTTAGCCGCGCTCACGCTGTGCTTGTATTGAGGGAGGGATGAAGGGAGAGAGGAGAGGAGGCTGAGAACGATGGAAACGTATGCTGACAGCTCAAAATCGGACTGAGCTCCGCGACCTAACATTAATAGCATTGTGGTGCCAATTACGCAATGCTGTTAAATGGCACTTAAAGCTGAAATGCATGTCGATCAATGGCTGTTAGCTTGCTGTTAATTTTAAGTGGATTGCTTCTAGTTGCGGTAGGATCTTTTACTTGAATTTTAACTGTAAATTATACTTCGAGCCCACTGTGTCCACACATGCAGGAGAAATTGTCGCCTTCATTTATTGTTGAGTTCCAGTGCATTGTTGTTGCTGTTGTAGTACAAAGACTGAACATGATCAGGTGACACACACTTACACATTCGCTCACATACATAGGACCGCTAATAGTCACAATTTAAAACAACTGATTTTTTTTTTTTTTTGGTTCTTTGAAAATTGAACTACAGCTCGCGGATCAATTGGATGTGGGGTGGCTGGTGATGTTTGTTTTTTGGGGGCTTCGGTTGTTGTCTCGTAATTTTCATCAACAGCAACGTTATTTGATTATAACACGTTGCACACTGCCAGTTTAGCGAGTTGAACCAAATTTGCAACAAATTTTCAAATATTTGTGTACTTTAGCTCACTTATAATAGAATAATTCTTAATATGATTGTCGCAATATGGAACCATATCCGCGCCCGTCCCACGCTGCGTATGCTCAATGTTTAGGCACAATTTTTTAATTATGAATGTAGACACGGCTTTCATATTTGCACTTTGCACAGTTTTTGCTTTTGTTTTTTTTTTTTATCTGCTCACGTGCACGCCAAGCGGCAAACTTTAAATGCATTTCCGTAATTGCAATTGCACAACAAATATTGCAACAATAACCAGAAAAACATATGGAACGAAGGGGAATACGGAACGATCAGAATGTGGTATCCAGATTTTTCTATATGCGCTAGCCCTAACTAATTCAAGGTCAAATACGTTTATTGAATAGAGAGTGGAGAGACAAATAGAGAGAGTGAGAGCAACAGAGGAAGAAAGATTAACTCTAATGAATTTTCGATTTAGCTAGAATCGACGCTGATCAGCTTAACATTTAACTGTTTTATACAGTTAATAATTATTAAAATTGCTCTTTTAGCTTTTGTGTTATTCCTAGAGCTAAAAGTGAGCTCAGCTCTTAGTAACACTTCTAGTTGATCTCACTAAAGAATACTTAAGTGAATTCAACCCAAGACATAGGTCGCAATTTGAACTTCTTCATGGTCGCATTCTTTATTTTTTCTAGTTCTGTGCTCTGTTTTTGTTTTGTCAACTAATCCATTTGCTTGATAATGAAACCAAAACACAGACTGCTTTATTGGTCCAACCAATTTACCGCACTACTGTCCTTTTTTATTTATTTGACTTCTAACTAAACACGGGTACAGCTTTCATTGTTGTTGGTGACTTTTCAGAGCAACTATGTTTTTATCTCTTATATCTTTTATCTATCAGCTATCATAGAGTAGCACTTGACGAAGCTTAGGCAAATAATGCCATGATAATTAACATAAAAGATAGGCTAATATATTTTCCTTAATTACCCTGAGCTAGCTGCACAGTAATATACAATATGTATGTATCTGTCTGTATTATCTGTCTGTCTATATACCTATCAATTTACAGTTGTTTTTAATTTTGTTTATCATTAAATTAGGCGTTTCAAAAATAAGCGTTCGTTTGCAATTAACACTTTTCGAGATCTTCTGATCTCAATAGATTCAAGTTCGTTTCAGTCGTCAAATCGGCACATCAGCACACTGAGCGGCTTAGTCCGATTCAGTTTCCATCGAAATTGACTTATAAGATTCATTAGCATATCCCTTCGAATTTGTAAATCACACACTGGAAATATATTTGTTGTCCAGTCTCCTTCTTATATTCGAAACTTTCCTTTGCACGCTTCTCTCAGCTGTTTTGGTCACTTAGCGAAAAGCAAATTTAATTTGGAAGGAACGTCAAATATTATTTGTGTTTGCGGCACGTGAGCGAATCTTCTGTTTGCCAGCAATTTAATAAGCTGTTTATCAAAATCATTTCTAGCCAAGCATCGTACGATTCCAGAGGGCTATTAAAACAAATAGCACTTTGTATACATACACATGCACATATGTATATAAATATATGCATGCATGGACCTTTCTTCTTTGCATAAATGAAATACATTTTTTATTATACTTTCAAAAATAAATGTTTGATTAGAGTTTATTGCACTGAATTATTAATCAAATTCTTACCAAGAGCCAAAGTCTTGCGATCTGCTGATTCAAAATACAGTGGCTTACACCTTATTTCGTGCAGCAGCATAGTAAAACTTTGAAACCGTATTCCCGCCAAATCAGTAAAGATATCCAAGATTTTAAATGAGGTCTTATTTATTGGTTATTCATTATGTATTAACGCTTTCAATTAT